TCAAGTTAGGCGTTGTTTCGTTGCAAACGTCTACTACTGAAGGTTCTGAATTTCTCGAAGACGTGATGGAGCTTTTTGAGATATGCTTATCTTTTTGCTATACTACTGATGTATCCAAAAGAGTTGCTTTTGAATATTATGCCAGTGCCTTGAAATTCTGCTTTCGTCCGGAGCCATTTCGCTGCCTTTCAACTGAGGTTCTTTCCAGTCTACTTGAACTTGTACAGATGTTTCAAAAAGGAAATCTTGCTACCATTGTCTGCGACCAAAAAGAGCAACAACCCAACCCAAAGTACTATTTAAAAGGCACTAAACATTTTTTTCTTGAGCTCCTCGAGGTATTTGAGAGGAGACAAGATGATGGCGACATTTCAGAAATCGTCCGTCAAACAAAGAGATTTGCTGCTGCAGACGCCAAGGCATCTTGTATCAAAGAGCACAAAGCCGGAAATAAGCGTTTTCGAAATGATCACGTGGTATCGCCTATTTTCCTGACAAACTGGATAAACTTGCTGAAATTAGCGAACGTCAGTAATAGCTTTGCATCAACGTTAGCCAAACAGGACCCTTTGAGTCACTGGAAAAATTACATGTATTTTCCAATACTTTTACCTGATAGTTTTTTACCTGATAAGATTCAGTCCATTCCAATAGATGTTCATGAATCAGATGTTCGCACCATTTTTGAAATTTTAAAAGAGATGAAAGACAGCGGTAGCGAACTTAATCTTGCTGTGGACGAGGAAAGGCTGAGTGTATTCTTCAAGCATATGGATCACATTCGCCAAACAAGAGAGGTGACTATGTCTTCACTGAAGCTTTTAGCTACAACAACTATTTCCACAGATGTTCTACGGCAGGTGCTTCACCAGTTCTTTGAGGAGGGAAAAGTAAAGACGCAAAATGTTCATTCATCCTTAGAGGTCAAGGTAACAGCTTTTGATCATCTTCTGAAAGTATTAACGCTGCTTCCAGACGGGAGGATAGTCAGCAAAGTTTTGAAACTCTGGAGGGAAACCTCTGTGTTTGAATCTAATTATTATCTACATTGTAAATGTTTTTTGGACTTGTTTTTGGAAGAGTCAACTAGTGCAGATCGATGTGATTTAAATGAAAAAGCGGAAAGAACACTCATTTTCTTGCATTGGCTTCCTTCCTATTTGCTTTGTTTCATAACGATTTGGGGTCCTTTCCTTTCCCATTTCATAAAAGCATTTCCAAATTCGTTTGAAAAACGCCCAGAGGTGTTATTTTTCATCCACAAAGCTGAGGTAGCAGCACGATTGTCTGCTGAAAAGCGTCAAGAAACTGTCAGCCGGTTTGATCAATATAGCCAGTTCATGGCATGGATTTCTCAGCAGTGTTTTAGCGAAGAAGTAAAAAGCGAGATGGTTTGGTTGCTCATGTGGTGCACCGACGGCGGATCACTAGCCAAAAATGGGACGTTTTCAGAAAACATCATTAAAAAGGTCACCTTAAATCAAGAAATGCCATTTAGGAAAAAAGCAGTTATCGTCCGTGATGTAACTCGTTTAGCCCAACTCTTACAGGGTCAAGCGAATATGGACTTTGAGCGGTTCGTCGAGAACATCATTTCAACCCATATCACTGAAGTTGACGGTGAGATTTTTTCAGAGATTTTTGATTGTGTGAAACGATTTGTTGACGATGAGGGACCCATAAAGATCATTCCTATGAGCAAGAGTTTAGATATTTTGAAACGATTTGGTGATGTGTCTGGACCCATGGATGGTCCTATGACAGTGTCGCAGCTGCTGTCCCTGTTATCAGAGATTCCGATCTCAGATGACCGAATATCAAAACTTCTGCAGATGGCAAAACAATCCGAGGAGGGCTTAGTGAGCGTTAGCCTAATGGTTAGCGTTTTAAATCCTCTCTATTTTTTCATCAGCAAGGAGGAAATGAATGATTATTTTGACATTCTTTTGTCCGTTTTTGATGGTGTTCTTAAAGGGAAAAACGATTTGTGTGAGCAATTTTGTAAACACGTTCAAAAGTACTGGTTTCCATCTCAACTTCAAGAGGTCTGGGCAGAGGTTGCCAAATTGATTTCCTCAGGCTCGTTCAAGGAAGAAATCGAAGGTCACTGTTGCTGTGAAATTCTTAAGGCTGCATCAAACCTTACTTCTTCTGAGATGTTGCAACTCTTTTCCGAGGTAAGGTCATCGGCCGTGAAAGTGATCAGGCTGTTAAAGGATCGAAACGACATTCACGGCGCATGCGCCAGTGTCTCCGAATGTGTACCAGAAACTTTTGTTTCATCTCTGTCAGTCGTCGTGAGCTCGAAGGCATTAGGTGGAATGGAAAAACTGCTTCTGGTCAAAAAGTTGTGTGAAATCTTTTTGAGATACCCGGAAAGCTTATCAGAGAAGGCTATGGAAAACGCCTTAAGCAATCTCTTCCCGTTATCATGTTTTCGAGACAACTGCTGTTTACACAATAGACATTTATTGCGTTGGGAGATTTACCATACGGAAGCCATATTGGACAATCCTACAATCCTCACCCAACTGTCAAGAATTCCAGCCAACTCCTTTTGCGCTGTCATTTCTAAGATGAATTCTTACTCACTATCAGCTAATAGTATTGTCGAAATTTATCAATTCTTTGGTACGCTTGAGGGTTTAGATCAAACATTCTTTGACAATTTGTTGACAGTCATTGAAATAGCTATAAAAGAGTCAAATTCGGTGAAGGGTGTGTTGCAGATCTTGACGGAACTGGTGTGCATTGTTCGTACTACCCGTTCAGAACTGATTACCTTGACCATGGCTACTTTTGGGAATCTTTTAGAAAGCAAAGTTGGCACACAAGAGAGACTTCTATTTCTCAACAATTTAGCCATGGAGTGGGATTTCTCCCCAGATGTTAATGTTTTTGCCTATTTAGAAGTCTTCCGACTTCTCTGGAAAGTGTACACGACTGACAAAAGAACAGCTGAAAAAAGTGATGTAATAGATCGCCTTCAAGAAATTCTCAAGAAAGCAAATGAAAACGTTTTCGGGTATTGTACATCGGGTCTGTGGAGCGTGGAACCTCGCGATGATTTTGTAAGAAAAGTTCACTGTTGTGAGTTTGAGTGGCTTGTTCTTTGCTCCACTCTTTCAAACGATGAAGCGGCCCTAGCGTGCAACTTGATGTTTCGTCGTTATTATCCACAACATTTAAGATGTTTCGATTTCTCTGGGGTGTACATTGAAGATTACAGCATCAAATTTGTACCTTACGTTTCCGAATCAGAAAAAGTGGACGAGGTCAGCGTGGCACCAATAACTACACTATCATCTACAAGGAATGCCTTTTCAATCAACGAGCCGCATGGCAAAATTCTCACACCTTTGGTAATTGCAGAGAAAGTCATTTTCCACTTCAGACGTCTGCTCGGGGAAAAAGAGGACCTAACAGAAAATGCATTCATCTTTTGGGATCGTGCCCTAACACAACCACGGTATTGTGGGGAAGAAGAATGTGAAGGACGTAAGCCTTCTTTTGACGAGTACGTAGATGTGTTTCTGTCTATTCTATCAGGGACCTCCACAGTAGAAGTACTTTTACACTGGATTAATCAAAATTTGCACCACGTTTGCCAATGCTCAGAGGTTATTTTGAATGCCTGTAAACAGAGTCTTTTCACAGGCGACGTTGCCATGGAAGCACTCTTAAGATTTCAAGGTGCTGTGAGTGCCATACTGGAAAGAATGCGTTTAGATGCAGCAAAAGATGAGCCTATTCTTTCCTTTCTGGGTTGTCCTGTATCATGCTTTCGGCGTCTAATGCCGCAACTAAAAAGCCTGAGTAACCTTCTTGAGTTCAAGTTGTCTGTTGACACGAAAACAGCCGTCCTGAGGATATTTCAAACCAGTGTACTAGCCGGAGTCGCAATTGCGGAGGTGTTGTCCTTCTGCTCATGCGAACAGCAGGCTCTAAAGTTAGCCAAACACTTTGAAAGACACTGTCAAGAAAAGAAGACCTTAATATCTCCAGCGCAGAAGGAATTTGTGTGGCAGTTACTTAAGGCGTTTTGTCGGTTTTGCAATAACTTGTGTGATGATGTGCTTGCCAGATATGAGATACTAAGTAAGCTATACGACCAAGAAGATCCGTATGGCTTTAATCGCTTGCCTAAATGGCGTCATTTAATGTTGACAGACGGCTATTCTGCTCAAGTTATTGATTGGTGGTGTGTTGCATTCCTGATGACGCCACTTGAAGACGTTTCATCTCGGGATGTCGATTCTATTGTCAATCTAAGTTCAGGCACATTGAAACTTGTTGAATCTCAGTTGTCTGAAACAATTCAAAGATGCCTTTTCCCTAAAGATGGTTTTCGAGTTTCACCGGAAGAAGGGATTAAAAGACAAGAAACCAAGGAACGTCTTCGACTAGCCAAACTACTTGGCGAATTCATCAATATACTAAGAGTTTTAAAACCTGATGAAAATCGTAAACATGCTGTCATCAGAGAAATGCTTGTCTGTGGATGTAATAAGCTCTGTGACGCACATGAAAACCAAGCAAGAAGAAACGATCTGTACATAATTCAAGAAAAGCAGCTGAAAGCTTTGTTCACTGAGGTTTTTGGCAAGCAACACAAACACAACGATGATGCAGAAAATGTTTGCCCTACACACAAAACAGTTGACGGAGGCTCGAGAGGATCAACAGATCTTTCAAGACAGTCAACCTGTTCACAAGAGAACCTTCCATTGATCATGAGTCACCGCGAAGTCTATCAGCCATTACTAGTTTTGTTAAGGCGTTGGTTATCCCGAATTGTCGTAAGACCGAATCTTGCCTCTCTTACGCTTAAGATTGTTCACCCACTCTTTTCAGTTGACTCCAAAGAACAAGGCAAGGAGGTTTTATTGCGAGTACACAGTGAAATTAAAGATCACATTTTATCCCTGGAAGAGAATCAGGCTCTCATAGCTCAGCTTCAGGCTTCGGGATACAATCAAAACAGGCAAGGACACCCGGATTTGTGGTCTTCTCCAAAATTGGAGTGTTCTGGCTACATCAGTAAAGTCGAGGCGCCAGATGGTAGGAGATATATAAGGAAACTGACCCAAGTTCTGAGGCAGTGGTGGAACCAGTGGAAAGATGTCCTTTCCAAGCTTCGTATTTTCCAAATAAAAGTTGGCGAAAACTACGTGCGCACGGATGACCTTTTTGGTCTTCACGCATCTTTGGAGGAAATGGAGCAGCAGGTGTCCGCTGTCAGTGAAAGGGTCAATCAAATTCAAGAGATTGACGAAAGAATTCAACAAGTTATTGAACTAATGGTACGCACGGAACAACAACATCGTGCAAGGATTAAGACATTGTACAAGGGGACCAAGGTGAGAGAAATAATTTTTTTTCTCCTTTTACGATTTCAGTTTATGGGATACAAATAGGAACGAGTTTCACGATCATACTGGGCATCACAAAAAGACTAAAAAGTAAACATTTAAGAAGTTCCAGCGTATGTAAACTTAACGGTGGCGATTAACCTACAGACTACGAGTCTGGGCGCAAGTAACATTGTAAAAGAACTTAAAGATATCCACTTTCTTTTTTTTTCAGTGGGCGGGAGGAAAGATAGATTGGCAACAATGTGCTTGTAGTAAATGTCAAAATTTAGGCTACTCATAGGTTCTTAAATAGGTTTTTATTTTCTGAAGAAAAAAATATACATTGAAGCTGAGTATTTAGTGGAATATTATTACATTATTATTTTTAGTATTTAGTAGTATACCATTACATTTTGAAACGTCTCTAAAGAGGATTCTGAATGTTTGCCCAAGTGCACAGAATTATTTAAAAGATTTTAGAAAATAAGAACCTTTTTCAAGTTTAAGGCGAACTTGGTTCTTTTCTAGAGGGAGCCTAACTGCCAAATACTAGCCTAACCGTACCAGCCAAGTTCTTAAAAACCTCGTTCTTAGTCGTGGGTTTTTACTGTATATGTATAGCCCAATTTTACAATTATAGTAAGGTGAAAAAATACTCTGAGTCAAAATTAATGTTTTTCTTCTAGACCTCAGGAGCATGTGGAAACCAGAGAGCTAAAATCACGAAATTTGTTGCTGTTTGGGAAAATCGATTTCTGGAAAACGTGAAACTGTGCTCGGAGCGAATTCCAGGTGGGTTTAAAAACCGATTGGGAAGGTGGAGAATAATATTTTATGACGAGAGAGCTTCAGAAACTCATTAATAATTCATAAAGAGTATGTTAGTCTCTGTGAGTGATCGTTGCCACGCAGGCTCAGTGGTCGCTAAAGGAATGACCTAAATACAATATTGCACTGTACAAGATCTTTATCAACGAACCATTAGTGCAATGTGCAGTTTCATTTAAGGGTTGATTTATATGAATAAGACTCTGAGAGGTCGCTTACGAGAGCTTAACAAACGAAAAATCCAGTTGGATAATCCCAAGAGTGGTCGCGGTCGCTTACGGGAGAGGTCGCTTACGAGAGCTTTTCATTACAAAGTTTAAGTCACAATTCAAACGGTGTTTCACAAAGGTGGTCGTAACTAGAACTGGTCGCTTACGAGAGTGGTCGCAAGGAGAACTTCTACTGTAATTGCATTATGAAGCATGCAATTGGCTCGGAAACTTTGAGTAGAGCTTTACTGGTGAAGTCAATTTTGAACCTTGCTCACTAAATCCAGCTAAACGTTACCTCCAGTATCTGCCGATTATAGAAGGTAGTCTGTGTAAATGTTAGGACCGGCTTAATTGCAAGAGTATCGTTAGCTAGTTTAGTGCAACTTTTAACCAGGGCCATCTTGATATAGTGACCAATCGGATTTCAGGAAAATACATCCCTAGAAAGTTGGTTGTCAATCACAATTAATACGAAACGAAATAAACAACTTGTTGAAATCAATTAGACCTTTTTACCGATACAGCGGCCATATTGAATTTTTAGATTTAAGGAGTATCATGGGATGCCCAGGGGGCACTCTCTCAGTATTTACGCGCGCTTTTCGGGCAAAAAGAGAACTTCACTGTATATTTCTCGGGAAAAAGACGATCATTATTACATCCAAACACGGCACAACGATCTTTTTTTCCATTGCAATCTTTTTATAGGAAAGCTTAAAGAAAAACTGGCTGGAAAAGCGCGCGTTAACACTGAGCGTGTATATGGAATCGTGCTCATGCCCCCTGGGCATCCTATAATACTCCTTAAATCTAAGTAATTCAATATGCGTAGCCGCCGCATCGGTAAAAAGGTCTATTACAACTACAGCCGTGACCTTTTGAATCCGCTGAAGAAAACTCGTGTTTCCTGAAGGGTCCTTTAGAGTGATTGACGAAGCGAAGAAAAAACGTATTCGTTAGTTACTGTATACTTTTTACTTCAGGTCGCATGGTATATATTGCACGGCGCTGCAATGTTAGTGAAGAAATTGCTGGTAGATGGCAAATATGTATCCTGCGTGCTATATTAAAGTTTCGGATAGAAAAGCATTGGGTGCTGACCACTTAAATAAAAACACCCGGGTGGAAATCATTTTTGCAAGTAAACATGAAACTAGAAAAGGAGTTTGGCGTGATGGGAGAACAAACCTCTACAAAGAATATCCAAATCAGCTGAACAGACTAAAACAAGGAGAAAAATTGCAAAACTGTAAATATGACTAAGTGACTGCTGGCTGCACGGTTATCCTGTTAATTCTATAACGCTCTATTTCTTGTTTCTAAATGTCAATTTAGTTTCATCGAACAAACCTTATTTGTCTTAAAGGATGCTACGCTCCCAACGGCTTTCACTCGGAGAAACCTGTCCTGTGTGCTTTATCTGTGGACAACAGGATTCTGACTGTCTTTAAGGAGGAGAAAAATGGTAACAGAGAGGAAGTTGAGAACGTGGAAGTGAAACTGTTCGAGGCTGGTATGTACGTGTACGAGCTGCACACGAGTGGCCATGAGTACGTAACAGATGAGCTGTGGGCTGCTTTTTATAAGATGCTTTTGAACGAGAGACTGGTACCCAGAATTGTCTTATCTAATGAAAGCCCTGGTTTTGACTGGATAAAGGGATTCGTGAATCCAGGTAACGTGTACCATGTACATTATCCAAGCAGAGCACGGCATTCCAGAAAATTTAAGTCAACAGTCCTGTCATATATCATACGATAGACTCCGTAATCCTATTCAGAACGGGAAGGGCTTTTTTTAGAGAATTATTTAAGAGGGAATGTCCACTAAGATCGAGCCGAATCGAAAATTCGTGGCACATGATGAAAAATCAAAATTCCTGATATTTCGTTCAGAGATACCCTATGGTGGTCTAAGAAACGTGGTGGTATTTTTTTTCTTGAAGTATTTTTTGGAACGCTACAAAAAAATAAACAAAGGTAAGCTTGCTCTGTTTAATTCTAATCATTCTGGTAAAGATGAATGACATGGTGACAGAGATGGTGGCCCAGATCCGATGATACGGTCCATAACCAAATATTCCAGCTAGTTGAAGCTAACTCATCAGTATCAGTTAGACCCACAGAACGTAATATAATCTTTTCTCCCTTGATGATTTCTTTTAGCAAAAAGTCTTCCCTATCCTTGGAAATGGGAGCTTCACCGAGGGATTGTTCCACCGGAGGAGGACTACTTCGATCATCTGCCGATAAAGGCAGCAATATGGCCAGCTGATTTAAATTTAACAGAATTTATCATTTTGTCGAAGGAGGACGTCGAAAGTTTTCAGTTTGAAGAGTTTGAGGTAAGTCGTAAACTGAATTATAGGGAATAAACTTTGTTCCTGTTCTCAGCACCGTTACATTTCAACTAGTGTTTTAAATCTATGCTGGCTGATTTTCGCCCCACGTTAGGGAATCCAAGGCAGGCTTGGATTCCAGGTACTGGGTTCCGGTCTTTGTCAAGGGAACTTGTATTCCGGACTCTAATAGTTAGTGGGATCCCAGATTTCTTGAGCTGTATTCAGGATTCCAAAGCCCAGGATTTCGGATTCCACAAGCAAAAATTCCCCGGATTCTCTTGCATGGGGCAATGACTTGCACAACACTAGCGGGTACTATTGCAGTCGGAGTTTTCAAATTTGCTTTTCACCGATTATGATGGAAAGCCTTTCAAGATTTTGACAGATCTGTAAGACATGATGGCAAAATATTAACAAAACTGCGAGCAGAGCGGCAAGCAACAGTTGGTCATCTGACAATATCCTGCTAAAATTTGCTGCTCATATTCGAGGAAATGTTACCCGCGGTCGGACATAATAACTCCCTGCGTGGGGAGAGCTTCCTACTAATAGGCTAATGGGGATGTGCTGCTGGATGGGGTCGCCTTTCCACGACTGGATTGACTATAATGGGGTTGCTTTTTCAAAAGTCAGAGTTACTACCTAGTTGATTACTAGAAAGTGGGGCCGTACATTCTCGGACTGTAAAAAGCATCTTAGTAAGTGCGCGTTTTCTCGTTCCGTACTCTAATTTACGGAAACTCCTGTTTCACGCCGAAGTTGAAAAATCTCGCTCCGTTATAACTTACAGATCAGAGTTCGAATTAGTTTTGGGTATTAATATATAAAAGCGCATTTTCTCAGCCGGAAGCTTACCGAACGATGTCTGTAATATACAGACGTTAATTGATTTAGCCATTTTCCCTGTTGACAACATGTACAGATTTATGATTAGTTAATATGTCTGTAATATACAGACGTTAATTGATTTAGCCATTTTCCCTGTTGACAACATGTACAGATTTATGATTAGTTAGCATTCTATGAAAATACCGACGTTGTGTATTATGATCCCGGACATGGCCAATAACCAGATTGTTTTTGAATGGTTCTGAATTGTGTTTAATTGAAATTTAATATCGTTAGGACGCATCTACATTCGAGAAGAAAGAAAGGCGATCAAAGAAAATCGTAGGAGAAGCCATTCAGAACCTAAAGGATGAGCTGCGCTTGCTGCACGGGGAAGATGAATCAGTAAGGACAGCTCTGGCGGGGAAGCTAGCACCTGTTGTTAAGAAAACGATCCAAAGCATCACTGGTGGAGAAGACCCCTCTGAGGAAATGGTGGAGAAGATGATTGATATGAAGAAACTCTCCTATAGAAACCCTCAAGTTTCGACGGGAAGCGGGCAGCAATACGCAGCTGCAGTAATTCGCGCTTGTAAAATGACGCACTGTACAGAGTAATACTGGGTATTATCGTGCAATTTAGATTGCTCAAATGTTGTTTTTCCTTTTTTCCATTGCATTTTTGGAGATGATCGATCAAAGTGATCAGAACAACAGACTTCATGGAAAGTGTTCACGTGCACTTGGGGCTCGGGGACGGAAACTGTGAACAACGAAATACCGAGGAGGCACTCTTGACTAGTAGCTCGCGCTTATATTAAGGAAGTACTTACAGTTGAAATATACTGTCGATAGGCCTGAAAAATCTCGATTTTCTTGAACAGGGACCGCATGGAATCGTTGGGTAATGATGACGTTTCTATCGTCCACAACCGCAAGTAAGAGATGGTTAGGATTACGTAAAACAGAAAATCCCGAAGGGACAAGGCTTAGCCACAAGTTGCTGATAAATTCCCAAAAAGGTGCCGTTGAAAGTGTCGAAAAGTTGCTAAAAAATTACTATTTTATTTTTAAAATTGCTAAAAAGTTGCTATCTTTTTACTTGTTGCACTTGAAGTTTGTTTTATTGCGGTTTTCAATGCCGGATTCGTCTAGATTTTTCTTCCTCTAGCTATTTTAGCTTTTTCGGGAGTCGCGAGATTTGTCCCGAGCCTTTTAGCTTCCTCAATAGGACTATTCGGGCTTTCATCTGCACGTTCTTCCCAGCTGGAATCTGGATCACTGATAGTGTTGTCCGCCATCTTGAAAAACGTGTCACGTGATACCGCTGTAACACCATGCTGGCTTTGGAAATTGGGCCAATCCTGGAGTCCACATGCACACTCACACGTTGAATTTAGCCGACTTTTCTTTCGAAAGCTAATGTCGCGAGAAAAAAAATAAAAAATAATGTAAAAAATGCTAAAAAAAATCAAAAGTTGCCAAAAAGTTGCAGACAAATTGTGGCTAAGCCTAGAAGGGACCGCTTAGGTAGATTTTGTGACATTTATTGTACAGTCATACATAACTTCGATACTCTTTTGCGTTACGTGATATCAGTGACATTCTGTGGAGCAGCTGTTTTGAAAGTTATGAACCAAACGTTAAGACACTCGTCAAGTGCAGATGAAGTTACAGGGGCGGATCCAGGATTTTTTTGAGGAGGGGGTGCACTCGTCTCTGGCTCTACTTCAACACCAATAAACCACAAAGGTTTTTTTTTTTTTTTGCCGAATACCATTTGTCTTAAAAAACCGCAGGTCCTCTCATGGGGGGGGGGGGGGGGGCCATCCCCCCCCCCCTAACCCCACGCCCCCCCCTCAGGTGCAAAGATCCGAACAATACTGCTTATTTTAAAAACAAAAATCACATTTTCTATTGGCCAGGCTTATTTACTCAGCTCATACCCTACGTCGCACACTGCAGTCAAANCTGCCTCTTACCGCTTGACTAGCTGTTCGAGGATTTGTGCTAGTTCAGGCATTTTTTAAGTCCCAAACGCTACTTTTCTTCTCTGCATCTTCATTTGTTCTTTATCTTACTTGTGTACAGTTTCTTCGAAATGTTTTTCAATGTAGGTTTTTTTTTTTTTTTTTTGCACAAATTAAGCAGAATAATGGCGAAAACATTTTGCAAAACAGCGAGTCTCTCGTTTATGACACACGATGGCAACTTCTGTGAAGATTTCTTGTGGCCTAGGCATTCTCAAGAAGTCAAGAGCACTTTTTGTCTCCATTTCTTCATTTTTCTTCTTTGTAAATAGCTCCTGCTAAACCTTTTTCGAGGCTTTCACTTTCTTTAATCCGAAACAATCACTATCTACAATCCGTGATACTAGAACTTGGGTCAATTGAAGGAATAACGTTGACATGTTGTGCTCGACCTCTTTTTCCTTTTCTTCTTCTCAATGTTGGCCTCAAACTTGGACAAGACCACCGAAAGACCCTTACAAAACAAAATTGGAAGAGAAAAAGACAGGTATCAGAGCAGTGTGACCCAAGTTGAGTGTCCAAGATTGTAGCTTGCCCTCGTGGGAAAGTCGGCTAAGGCGTCTCGTAATTAAGGCGTGCACCAGATGTTGATAGAGAACAAGGGTGCAAAAAAGGTGTCTTCTAACTGTTTTAGTGATACTTTAATTATAATAATTGTTCATTGGAGGTATAGTTGAAGTGAAAATCGGCAGGTATTTTTTGCAGGTCACATTCCACGCTTCAGACTAGTATGCGGCGGTCACCATGCTACAGATAAATAAACTGGTCGGGGCCAGAAGTGTCTCCTGGCCTCCTAGCCCTAATCCTTATGCAAAATGTTCTTTTGGATCGAGGGGAAAACTATTTGTTTTTAATTAGTTTTCTTTCTATAAAACAGTGACCTGTAAAAGAAACCCGGGCTCTAACAAGCCAGATTACTTTAGATTCAAATCTAGCCAAACTGAGCAGACCGAAACATTTAGATTCATGAACAAGAATGGCTTTACTTTGTCTCTGACAAATTCTTCTCGATCGCTTTCTTGCTGATGTTATGAAGTAGTCTTGTGGTTATTTTTGACATGACTATCATAAGGATTTTTGATGACAGTTCTGTTTGTTCTTTGTTCTTCTCGTGATTTAAGTTTCGTTATGTTTGGGTTTGAGAATCAAGGTTAACCAATATATGCGTTAACAGGTTTTTGAGAGTTATTACCTTTTTAAAGGGTTTGTCGACAGAAGTGTCATCAAGCTTGGGGTTTAATTGAGTTTGATTGTCAGTTCCTGTTTTGGCTTAAGGTTTAACCTCGTAGATTTAGCTGTCGAGCTTTCATTGGTTTTCTTGTAGGATTGTTTTTTCCACTTTTGTTAACAACGGGAAATTCGTTAGAAGTCATTCGGAATAGCGTGCGTAACTCTCATGATCAGCAAGCCTAAACGTACCTGGCAATACGAATATATTCAACATATCAACCTACCAATCTAGAGTGTGATTAGCTGTTGTAAGAAGCTGAGCTGTAGACGTTTGTCTTGCCGCCAGTAATTAAAGGAAGAAAGTATCAAAGCTTTGTCAGAGTCCTGGAGTACTCTCGCTAGAGGAGCTGTCCCGTCGAAGAAACCCCTAACACTGAGTAGACATAAACTAAGCTTTTAAACGTGAAACTTAGTACCGTGGCGTTTCTCGGCACTTTCTTCTAAACCAAAGGGGATTATCAATAATTTTTCATGTTAATTGGCCACTTCCGAGTTCCAAAACCCCTCACTTTCAAAATGAGGCTAGGTGCACAACCTTTCTTGTGAAAATGAGTTTTACTTGCATGAGAATGAAAAATGATTTCCATATCAAAGGCTGAGAACCTACCCTCGTTTCGAAAAAGTCGGAAATGACCTATTTACTGCAGCTCTGTCAACTCTGTCGACTTGTACCTTTATCCCAGGGGGGAGGGGAGGGAAGACTCCCTTATGAAAGGAAGGGGATGCTCGTCATCTCGCCTAGGGGTGTAAATTTCGGATTTTGGTCTTACTTAAGGCGTTTATGCAAAACGCCATTATATTTAGTTGTAAAGGTCTCAGTTTAGGGTTGCACGCCAAGAAATATAAAAATATATATACTATATATTTTCAATTCGTTTTATTCACTCGATTCACGTAATCAAAGTTTAAAATGGTCGCTTTTAAGGGTCAAAAAAAGGTTGGGCTACGCCCAGATTGGTCTCCTTTAGGAGTTTAACTCATATGGGAGTTCCCCCGGGACCTTTATAGGTGCAAAATATATCTAGCTGGATTTTTGAAAATGTTATCAAAAAAAGTTTTTATTGAGATATGTCCAGGATTGAACTCTGTCGCAAAGATTTGCTAGCAATTTTTTATCTCAATTTTAGCAAAAAAAAAAAAGATGATTCACAAGAAGATTTTGTCAGGCATTTTCTTGCAAATATCGCAAAAATGTCAAGAAAAATAAATTTAGCAAAGTTCAGTCTTGTAAAAAAGAAAGGCAAAGAAGGCCGTCAAGAAGTCTGCAGATTTCGCAAAATCGCAAAAGTAACAAGAATTTTTCTTGTTATCAAAAAAGACTCGGTAACAAATATAGCAAGAATAGATGAAGAAAGGCAGTCTGAACTTTTGTTAAATTTGTAATAATTCTTATTATTCTTGCGATATTTGATAGCGTATCTTTCTTGTTGAACTTCTTGTTACTTTTGCAATTATTGCAAAAACTGCAACTTTCTTGAGGTTAATCTTTGCCGTCCTTCTTTATGATTGTTTATTTTGCTAATAAAAGTAGTCTTTTTTGGCAATTTTCCGATTTCTGTCACCAAGTTTTCACAACATTGCAGATAAAATCCTTCTTACTTTTACGACTTTTACTACTAGTTTGGAATTCTTGCCGAATTTGTTATTCTTGCTATATTTGCTATTTATTCTATACATTCAACATACAGCTTTCATTAAACTTTTTTTTGTTAAATTGCGACAAAAATTTGCTAGCAAGTTTTTGCTTCAACTTGCAATCCTTGTTGAATTTAATTTGTTATTCTTGCTATGTAAATTGCTATTTCTTCTAAATAATACGTTTCTGCTAGCAGTTTTCCTTTCCCTAACTTGGGAAAAAAAAAACTTGCAAGCAAATTTTTGTGACAGAGTGCAATCCTGGACACAAGTGCGGACGTCGTGAAGACGAGCAGAATAGCGCCCGCAATATAGCAACCAAATTAACAACAATACAAAAACTTAACCCAAATAACCTGGATAATATCATCGGCTTTTAATGAAAAATGTTCTATGTATCAAAAGAATAAATTCTTAAGCTGTTAGATGTTTTGATTGACTCCCAAAATTAACAGTATAATTCACCACAAAATAGAAAAGGTTTACATGTTTTCTTTTAACTAAACATGTTAACTTTTTCTATCTTGTGATGAATTATAGAAGTGTTTTGGGAGTCAATCAAAAACATGATGACACGCGTCCGTTCAGCTATGTAGCCGCACTTTGTCAGCGGCGTTTCGCTTTCGCTTCTCGTTCCCAGAGCTCTCGCATGCATCGCGTTTTCAAGGAATGTTTCAGCTTTCGTTTTCCGGTAGTTTTCCCGGAACCGATATAAACGCTTAGCAAAGCATATTTTATTCCCAGACGTCGAGATTCAAGAAAAGGTAAGGAAGTTTTTTGGTCATTCTCGCATTCTATCGGTATGAATTCATCGTGATAGCTTAATAAAAACCTTAATATTGGAAAATATTAAGACTAATTGTGAAGACCCCGAGATCGATGAAACGATACCTAAAGTCTTCAATATTTATAATCGACACAAAAGATAGACTTTGAGATTCGCCTCGAGAATTGGAGATTAGCAGCTTTTTCCACAATCCGCGTGATGTTCTTGGCACCAATTTTAATCGCCTTTTATATTATACACGGTATTTTCAGACTGATACAAGACTCTTAAAACGAGACCGTTCAGTTTTTTCATCAGTGTTCAACACTATTGTGAAACATCACTTCTGCGATCGCGGAATGTTGTCTTCTTAATTTGTTACCGCTTTTTTATGGCCCCTATATCATTTCATTTAGAAACGCCAACCGGTAATAGATAGTAATAGTCCATTAAAAGAACAAAACCCATCACAAAACAAGATATCCAGGCATTGGTATTTAATTTTCAAGGCTTCTTTTAATTTGCTTCACGACACTTTAATATACCGGTAATGTAAAATTATTGTTTGGAAGGAAAGAGATGGGGCAAAATATGGATTCGAAATATATTTAATTTACAAACGACACGTTTTGGAGACGTTTTGTAGTTAAACGAAGTAACTTTTCACCCCTCTTTTTAAGTTATGGACGGGAAAATATACACGCTTTGTTAAATTAATTTTATTTTTGGCAATTACCAGCTTTGCTTTTATTTTCTTATTATTTAAATAATGCTATGATAGCATTATTTAAATTCAAAAGATCGTCAGGGGATGGCTAAAGCGCAATTGCAGATATCATGCGTTAATCTCGAGTATTTTTAATAAACAACCTTATTGAAAGGAAGATAATTATGGAAAGGAGCCGGATACCCTCACAAATGTAAAAGAGTAGTAATTCTGGCTGAAAGCCTAAAGTTGCATCGCGGTCACACAGAACTTTGCGAAGCTTCGCGGGACAACTGGAGGAAAAAGATGAAAGTTAATAAAAAGTTGGGAATAACTTAAAGAGTAACAATAATGTTAGAAAACGTTTTTTAGCCAGGCCTCCAATTTGGTAATCATTTATTACGCGACACGTGTGCTAAAGTTCTTGACAGGGCAGACTTATCAACTAAAGTTAAAAGCACTATCAGAAAAGGCCCTGTAAAGCTAGTCGAGCCGTAAGATAAATTCAAAGGTAGATTTCTGGAAAATACGCAAGGTTTGGATGGTGGAAAGGCGAACTTCAAGGAGCTGAGTCACGAGTTTTCTAAAAATTCTAACAGTAAGAACTGCCACCACTGAAATTGAGTGAAACAAAACAAATAACGGTTCAAAACGTTACTGCGCTTTTCACAAACATGCGAACTCTAAAGTTCAAAAGCCGCCTTCACCATTGCGTTTTTCGCTGCCGTCAATCATAATTACGATCACAAGCAACGAACCTGGAAACACAGAAACACACAAAACGGATCGAAATCCACCAATCACAAATCACAAACCTTGACCTTTTGAAACCGTTAAAGTAAAGTTTTGTTTCCTAAGAGGTCCGTTAAGATGATTGACGGCAGCGAGAAACGCAATCGTCAGTTGGCTTTTGAACTTCAGAATTCGCATGTTTGTGAAAAGCGCAGTAAAAGAAGCCAAATAAATAACACCACCTACAAAAACAAAGGCATGGGCGAACTTGAAGAAGATTGTGGCTTTCATAAACTTCAGTGCTTGCCTAACTGTTTTTCAAGTCCATTTTATTGTAACCGTTTGATTTAATGCTTGGCTAATATATTCTGTTGGGCAATAAGCTGTGATTTTGTCGATTACGAGTAATTTCTTCGTTAACATTAATACTTTCAATGTCGGCGCCATCGAAACCTATTGTTGGAAGACCACGTCGATAAGGAATAAGGAAACGTATTTCACCAAAATGAACTAGAAAACCGTGACAAATCCACTTCAATCCTACTGAATAACTTCAAAACTGTTTTGGCCTGTTCCAGGCTCCGACCGACAGAAATAAGGCTCTTGAGAAAGCGCGAACACGATCAGAAAATAACATGTCGCGCGTATTTAAGCTACACACCGCAGATCAATTTTTGTATCACGATTACTACGATTTATACGCGTTTTAAGTAAAACGATAGCACCTGTGAAATATGAAAAGCAGTAGTCCCTTCTTGTCTTTTTCGGTTTTATTTAACAAAATGAAGTCGGCAAGATTCATCGATGCTTTTGTCATTTCCGTTCGCGCTTGCTAGAGACTAATGATTAAAGCCAACTCAATGCTGCGCCCCTCCTCGAGTAGCTTAAGGGTTGGGTCAAATGGTTTCACCTACGACGATTTGAAGGCTATCACTTTGGCAAAGAGGAGGAAAAAAAAAAAAATCTCATCGTCAGTCAATCACGTGATATTTATTTTAGGCCTAGGCCAAACGTCGAACTTTTCATGAGACGAACCAAACTTAGTAAGTTAAGTTCATGAAAAGTTCGACGTCTGGCTCAGTTACGTTCGTCGGAATGAGTTTGAATAGTCCAACACGTTCTATCTGTCTGAAGCAGACGGATATAGAACGTCTGAAGATCGCCTCCGGGACAAACGCTTGATCTAAACGGGCGACGAACTAAACTTAAATAACGAATTAATATGTAGAATTAGCCAGGGCTAAAAGCGAAGTTCTCTTTTAATTAATATTTATAGTTTCCTCAAAGAAAATATAACATCTGTTTGTCTGAATTTTGATCAGAAACATTGCTTCACCAAAAATCTGACTAGTACTGTAACAGTACTAGACCGGATAACTTCATACTTTCGTGCCATCTGTTTGCGAGATCATGAACAAGAATAGAGCGTTTTCACTCACGTGTCCAGCATCTATGCTAATTTACTGGAACAAAAGAAAGCATTTACACGAGAAGAGTTCAACCAACATGGCTGCCGTTTCATAATTGTTTTGGAACACTGTGACGTCATGTGAAAACGCTCTTTTTTGTATACTGTTGTACGTAGAAGGGAAGTTCGTTTGTGCTTGCAGCAGCAATAATTAAGGTGAATACTTACGTAATGATTAACTGCCCCCTAAACAGTAGAAAAAATCTGAAAATGCTTAAATTCACACTGCTGTCTCAAGGATGGTGGGAAAGGAGGGGCTGCTTAACTCTGATGAAAGGAAAGCCCAGTCTTGGAAAATTTCCTTGCGTGAATCTCACAATTATAGTTGCTCTTCTCTCGTAGTTCTGGTTCACGATCGATGGTTACTCGCCCATTTGGCCGAACGAAGATGCCAGAGGAACGCAAGTGGAGAAAGTAAACTATCATCTGTCGACAGTGAACCAAAATAACGTTTCAATCGCTCGAATGGCTGAAAACGTTCATTATCAGTGCAGTGTGGAGAAAGACTCAGGTGCCACTGTTGCCGACGATGAGTTGGGAAAAGTGCTTAAAGAACTTGAAGAGCTTCCTTTTCAAGACGAGAACCAAAAGTCCACCTTCTTTAAAGACGTTCAACGCTTACGGGGCAGACACGTCATTCAGTGTTTCAAGTTAGGTGTACGTCCGCTAAAATTATGTACCTCAAAAAATTCTAATTTTACTGAAGAGGTGATGAAAATTTTCGCAATTTGCGTCTGCTTTTGCTATACCCCTGAAGTGGCGAAAAGAATTGAATTTGATTACTTCACCATGGCCTTAGAATTTTGCTTCTCTGAGCACACATCGCAGTGCCTTTCCACTGAGGTACTTCATAAACTGCTCCAACTTGTGCAGATTTTGCATGAAGGAAAGTTCAACAGCAAAAGTTTGATTAGTAAAATACTTGAGGTACTTAAGACAAGAAGAGATAAAAGTCACCTTATGGAAATTTTCGACGAAACAATACGATTTGCTTCTAAAGACACCTCGGTATCTTGTATTAAGAAAATAAAGGTCGATTTACTGGGAGATATCGCGGTACCAGCATGTTTGTTATGCTGGATTAACCTTTTGAAGTTTGAGCACGTCAGCAATGGCTTTGCATGTGCCTTAGCCAAGAAAGATGACCCACAATATATGCCTTTTCCTTATCCCATTCCTTTACTTCACAATTCTCTAGTTGGTTTCTTTGGGAATATTTTTGAAGAAATGAAGCGAAGTGGTAGCGAAGTTACTCTCCCCTCTGAGGAAGAAAGGCTGAATATTTTTTTCGGTCATCGGCATGCTCATCGTTTTATCTCTCACTCGCCGTTAGCGAAGACTTCTCTTAAACTTCTTGCAAACAGAAGCATTAGCAACGAAGTCCTGAAAAAAATTCTTGACCAGTTCTTTTTTGAAGGCAAACGATCGATGAATCGTAAGCAGCCCTGGTCTAACCTCTATGAACCCGTTGCTTTTGAACTTGTCCTCAGAGCTTTGTCATTATTTCCTGACGGGATACTTGTCAACAAATTGTTAAGTATCTGGAAAGGGATCGTCCAAGAAGATCGTGATTACGAAGCTCTTTTACATTTAATTATCAGTCTATTTCTAGAAGGATCAGAAACTGAAGCCTATTCTTTGGCAGAAAATGCTGAAAAAACCTTGGAGTGTTTATATTGTCTTCCTCAATCCCTCCTACCTTTAGTAAAGTTTTGGTGTCCTGTCCTTCCATCTTGTGTAAAGATATTTCCAACGTCATTCCAAAGTCATCAAGAACTACTGGTCTGGTTCATTGAAAGCGCTGCCAGAAGAGGGCAAGTACCACGCGATAAACTTCCTTTGTATTGTAACCTGGAACAACGCCCAATTATCAACTTCTTACAATGGACTGCTCAACAAAGCTGCAATGCAGATGTGAAAGAAGAGCTGGTATCGCTCCTAACGTCCTGCATGAATGAAGCTCCCTTGAGGCACAAGTGCTGGCAGTTTTCTATTGATTTGATCAAACAAATGAGCCTCTGTCAACAAATGCGCCTTAGCGTTAAAAAGGACGTAATCCAAAATTTTACCCGTTTGGCCAACGTCTTCAAGGAGCGAGGAAGAGACCTTTTTCGTAACATTGTAGAAGGTGTAGTATCAAATCAAAATCTAAAGCTTAAAGACGAAATTTTTTCTGAAATATTTGATTTTGTCAGACGCTGTTCTGAAATGAAGACGATTCCTTCACAAATTCAGGAGCTACTTTCGTTGGTATCAAAATGCTCGATTTCAGGTGACCGTAGAGTAACATTGCTGCAGAGGTCAAAGGAAACCGGAAAAGGTCTACTATGTAGTTTGCAGATCTTAGAACTGGTAAAACATCGTCACCCCGTCCTTGAGGGAGCAAATGGATATTTTGATCAACTTTTTTTTGCTTTTTTTGACATTTTTAAAGAAGACGAACACATGTGTCAGCAGCTCTACAATCAACTACGTTCAGTGGTTTCTTCACCACTACTGCAAGATTTATGGAGCTCTCTGGTTCCCAGGTTGATTTCTTTGGATTTATTCGATGAAGAAATTGATTCGCGATGGTGTTGGCCTGTTCTTCGACAAGCTGTAGAAGAAAGATCTCCAATTGATCTGTTAGCACTCTACACTCAATTAAGAGAAGGCTCTGAGAAAGTTGTTGAGCTATTAAGAGTTAGCTGGGCGAAATTGCCATTGTCTTCCACGAGATCACCAAACGACTCCGAAGTTCGAGTATGTGTGGAACAAGAAACGTTCATTTCTTCTCTTGGAATCGTCGTGGGATCAAACGTATTATCTTGCCAAGAAAAACTATTCCTAGTCAGGAACGTTTGTGACATTTTTGTCCAAAACAAAAATCTCTTAACAGAAACGACAATGGTAAATGCCTTACACAATTTGATACCATTTTCTAGATTGCAAAACAACGATGTGTCAAGCAACAAAGAAATCATGCGTTTAGAACTGCATCAAATAGAAGGCATACTGAGAGATCCTCACATGATGACTCAGCTATCAAGACTTTCGACTGGTTTAAATAATTCTTTATGCTATGTTTTCTCCAGCAAGACTTCCGACTACTTTTCAAACGGCACACTGATGGACATTTACCGTTTTATTGGTTCGCAAGAGGATTTAAACGAACCATTTCTTAACAACGTCATCATGGGAGTCCTTGAGATAGTCGTCCAAGAGTCAGGTTCAGTTGGGAATATAATAGAGCTACTGGAGGAAGTGGTAAGCATTGTTCGCAATGTCCCTTCAGAATTAACTTTGTTTATCATGGGTAATTTTTGCAATCTTCTTAAAAACAAGGTAAACAAAGAGGATAGGAAAAGTTTTTTCAAAGAAGTTGCAATGAGATGGCGCTGCTCAGTAAGTTCTGAGTATCTCTCGTACTTGGAGGTTCCACGACTCCTTTGGAAAGTCTATTGTAACACCAATTCGCGAGGTAGGAGACAAGAACTGATAGATCGGATACAAGACATTCTGCAGAAAACAAAGAACGTCGAGATTTCTTCGGCCGAAGACAATGAAGACGTAATTAAAAGAAGAATTGCATGTTGCGATCTCGAATGGCTCGTTCTCAATTCGTCCCTTTCAACTGATGAAGCTGCTCTGGCATACGCACTTTCGAGATCTCTTACTTTAAAGCAGCCACTAAGATGCTACACTTTTTCTGACGTAAGAATAGAAAAAGGCCGCTTTAAGTTTATCCCGGCTCAAGAGAAGAGATTAAAAACACCAGAAAAATCTAGAGATGTAGAAAGAAACCATGGAAATGGTTACCCGGCCATTGACCCACAAGTGTCCCTGTTAACACCAGCATTGATGGCGCAGAAAATGATTTATCACATAAAACGTGTACTCAAACAAGGGGAAGACCTCTCTGAAGTTGCATTTTCACTTTGGGACCATGCTTTTGGACATTGCCTAGCATGCTGTGAGGCTGAATGTGCAGCAAGTTTGACTTTTTATGATGACTACTTGAATGTTCTGCTGTCCATTTTGTCCGAGTCTTCATCGACAGAAATAATGCTTCATTGGGCTAAACTTGATAGCCACTTCACCTGCCAGTGCTTAGAAGTTGTCTTGAAAGCCAGCAAGAGCAGTAGCGATTTTGAAAAGGAAACGATGTTAAATTTTCAAGCCCTCGTTAGTAACACACTGATGCAACTCAGGACACCCAAAGCAGATGGATTTCCCTCTGTGAGACCATTTCCATGCTTTCTACGTCTTAAACCAGAGTTGGATTATTTGGGCGGGATTCTTGGCAGCGGATTATCCATCAAAGTGACCACACAAATTCTCAAAATCTTTCAAACAAATGTACTTGCAGCTGGAACAGTAGCTGACATCGTGTCTTCATGGTCTTGCCAATATCAGGTAATGAAAGTGGTGAGACGCGTTCATTCATTTTGCAAGAAGGAAGAAGATTTCCCCCTAAACCCTTTCCAGAGTCAGTTTGTCTGGCAATTACTAAAGGCATTTGGTCGGTTCTGCAAAGACTCAAGTGAAAACCTTATGGCCAAGTTTGATGAGCTACTTTTATTACGCGATCTAGAAGACAATTATGGCTTCAACCGTTTGCCCAAATGGCGAGAGATGATGATAGCAGGCGGCTTTTCTTCCCAAGTGATTGACTGCTGGTGTGTAGCGTTCCTGACGACACCACTCAAGGAATTGTCATCACGAGATGTTGATGCTATTGTTGACCTGAATTCAAATCCGCTAGAGATTGTTCCAGCACTTTCTGAAAAAATTAAAAGCTGCGTTTTCCCTGAAGATGGTTTTAAGGTTACTATTACTCAAGGAGAAGGCATCAAGGAGCCATCGACCAGGGAACGCATTCGATTAGCGAAATTGCTTTGTGAGCTGATTAACATGCTTAAACTGGGAAAACCCGAGGAAAATAGAACAGATGCTGTTATCAAAGGAAAAGTTGTTGACGCCTGTTATAAGCTTTGCGAGGCTTATGAAAATCCAGAAAAAAAGCGAAACGGCAAGGATTTGTACAGAATTCATAGAAAGATGCTTAAAGCGCTCCTTACTGTCGTCTTTGGCAGACAGTGTGAGTCCGATCCTGATGTTAACAGTTGTGGCGAAGCAAGCCAAACAGATGATTCAGAGAACCTCCCACGTATATTAAGAAAAAATGAGGTGTTTGACCCATTACTAGTGATGTTACGGCGTTGGTTATCCCGTCCTGCCATTAAACCAACCCTTGCATCTCATACACAAGCCGTTGTTCAGCTACTTTTCTCAAGTAACCCCGCTGTCGTGGGTCCAGCGTTGCATAGCGTAATCCAAGCTCACATTTTATCTGTGGAAGAGAATCAAAACATCATCGCTCAACTTGAAGCATTGGGGTACAACCAATCAACCAAGGAAACCAGAAACCTATGGTCCTCATTAACTGTGGAGTGTTCTAGATACATTAGCAAGCTCGAATCTCCAGATAGTAAAAGGTTTGTGAAGAAAATGACCCAAAACCTAAGAGTTCTGTTGAACCAATGGAAGTACATCCTCTTCATGCTGGGCAAGGTTTCAGTAAAAGTTGGCGAAACCGACGTAAGTACGGAGGACCTTTTTGGTCTTAGAGCCTCTTTAGAGGACATGAAGAAACAGTCGTCTGCAGTAAAGGAAACTGTCAGTCAACTGGAGTTGGGGAGCCAGGAAAGGAGAGTCAAGCAGTTGATACGCGAGGAGCAAAGACTGATTGAAAAACTCGACAAGAGCTGTGAGGTAAGAAGTTCCTTTCTCTAGACATTAAATATTTCAGCTAATTATAATTGGTTTGAATCATCCTTTTACAACATACCTGTATTTATTGATGAGCCTCTGAAGCTCTCTGGAGAAGCTCTCTCTCCAAAGACATGGGCCTAAGTAACCCTGGGTTCCAGAGACTTTTCAAGCGTGCGGTTATTTTTTAGTTTCGGTCAAGAAGATTTTGCATGATTCCATCTGCCTGTATCGTCTGTTGACAAAATGTTGGTGTGCCTGATCTGCAGTAAGTTACTTTTAACATACATATTACACTTTTTAGTGTGACGGCCGTACTCTCTTTCTAGCCTTTGAGTAATAAGTCCTCAGGTAACTGCTACCAATTGATACTAGTTCCTCTGTTTCATAATGTAGTGCTCAGAAGCACCCCAAAGAGACAATGAAGATGAACTGAAGAAGTTTGTTGCTGTCTGGGATAATCGATTTTTGGAAAACGTAAAATTGTGCTCTGAGCGAATTCCAGGTGAGTAAAGAAGTTTTATGGTCGGGGAGAGACGTGTGGGGTGGAGTGGGCAAGGCGGAAACAAGTCGCTTCCTCAGTGAGCAATATCTAGAGTTCTCTAGGGTTGCAATTCTCATGTCCAGGGACCGCGAGCCTTCCTGTCGGCGACTACACACTGACCAAGAGCTTGAGTACCCGGCCAGACGGGCCGGCCTGTGAACAGGCTTTCTGTTTGGGGAAAGGGTGAAAAAATCGCGAGGAGAGCGAAGGGAAAGGGTAACAGAGCCTGTTCATGGGCTAGGTTTATGCATGCATAGCACGACAATGATGGTGACCTCGCTTAGAGAATTCAAAAGGAAATACTGAGAGCTCGCTGGCCCGAAAAATACGCCTTCCATGCAATTAATGCTGGCTGATCCTGTCTCTTGTCTCTTCCAGAGAGCAGATGTTGTACTTTTACTTTTAAAATCAACAGCAGACCCCAAACAAACATACTAAGCAATGGGCTACCATGCGAAGGGACTGCTGTTTTCGTTTACAGACTGAAAAGCTAGAAACACAATTTAAGTGTCCAAAATTGACAATGGGGTGAACGGGTTTAAATGCCACCATTAATTAGTCTTGACTAAAAATAGAATAGTAGTTTTAATCACGGTGCAACATTAAAATTACCTACGACGTGTATGTTCCCGACTGTCTCTTGTTCTAAATCGAACGTAACGAGCTGCGATTAGGGAACTTAAGCGCCAGACGTTCTTGGTATCACAGACGCCAACCGGAAGTATTTTTGCAGCATGACATCCACTGCGCAGGTCAAGACCCTGGGTTATCTTAACCCAGCTTTGAACAACTCGGCCCAGGTGCTTAAGTTCCCTATTCTCTCAAAGAACCCTTTTAGTTATCCAACCCGGTGACTCAAAATCAATCGCGTTCCCTGTTCGGTGTTACAGAAAATTAGAATAAAGCTGCACTAATGTTATACAAATTCAAGAGCCAAATTTTACCTTTTCTTCAAGGTTGCTACGCACCCAACGGTTTCCATTCTGACAAGCCTGTTGTGTGCGCCTTGTCCGTGGACAACAGGATTCTGACAGTTTTCAAAGAAGAAAAAAACGGACATAGAGAGGAAATAGAAAATGTGGAAGTCAAGCTCATGGCGGCTGGTATGTATGTGTTTGGGCTGCACTCGAGTGAACACGATTACGTCACTGATGAGCTGTGGGCCGCCTTCTTTAAAATGCTACTGGAAGAAAGACTGGTACCGAATATAGTTTTGTTCAATGAAAGTCCAGGATTTGATTGGATAACGAAGTTTGTTCAGCCAGGCAAGTGGTATTTAATGGATTCCTAGAGTGTTTTAGTACGGGTCTTTAAAAATATTTCAAGTGCCTAATTGTTAAGTTTTGTGTGTCACATTTCCATAAGCCTTAGGGGACGCATTTTAATTATCTGTTATTGTCTAAATCTGCAGTGTTTGTAAGTCTAGAAGACTTTTTTAAAAATATTGATTGACCCATAATTTTACAGATCTTAGTTGCATTCGACGTCAGGAGAACGCAACCTAAACTCATCAACGTGCGAGAATCACGGGCACGAACATTAAGCAGAAAGAATTACTGTGTTTCCTCGATTAAACGCCGGACCCCGATTAAGCGCCGGCCTCGAAAAAAAACGCCGGGATCGTTTATTCGGGGCCCCGGGGTTTGATCGAGGTCCCAGCATTTATTTGCGGTCGAGTACCAAGGACCGGTTACAAGTAAACACAATCCCTTGAACAGCACTGTGACGACATACCAAGTACATTATGCTGTTTTGGTTTTTTAATAAACGTTCAAAGGAAAAACTTTTTACTCATACCACTTACTTGCTCCTATATTATTCTTACGTTGTTTCTTTTTCTTTTTCAACACATGGTACACGCACCTTAAGTACGGTACCATAACTGACTGTAACTTTGGGTAATGGGTACGCACGGTTATCATCTTCAGAGATCCAGGGACAGGACGGAAGCGTTGCCCTGACAAACTGCCCCTGGGACGTCTCCGAGGATCGGAAAAAAATAGCCTGAATAAATGATAGAAATTGCATTTCACTAATAAACGCCGGCCTTGAAAAAACGCCCGGTCGAAACTGCCGATTTTTAAATATTCGCCGGGGGCGTTTGATCGGGAAAATACGGTACACGATTTCTGGTAGTTTGGGTCAAGTACCGTAAACGGAGATATGTCATAGACCTTAGATTTCCGGTTTCCAGAGCGGGCTTCAGTTAATTGCTTTTTGTTTTTCTTTTTTTTGAAATTATTGATGCTCAAAGTTATGCTCGTTTTTGAAAAATATGCTCATTTTAGCAAAATAATGCATCCGAATTATGCGTCTACTTAATTTTTACTTTAAATTTGGTAAAAACACCTCAGTAACTATCCGACAAACAAGTAACTGGCAAACTCATTTACCCAGTTTCTTTACGAATGCAGAATTCTTCACGAATTCCCTGTCTATCACTGTCTTCCAAAGTATATGCAGTGATAGATGAATGTGAAAAGGTAAACTACTGAAACAACAAAATTGTCTGAAAACTGTAAATTTCAAAAGTCTTGAGCTTGTATGTTTTGTTTTCCCATTAGAGGACCCAGGGGAACTTGGTCCTTTGTCTTTTCATAAATTATGCGTCGATATGCACGGGAATAAGACAAATTTAAAAGAAACAGTTCTCTAGAGTATTATCACATGACCTGTATTGGGAAAACAAAATATACAAGCTAAAGAGGTCTATTGACGACCCGCCCGCGGTCGCCATCTTTGGGAAACCGAGCTACTGTAGTCAGTGCGCATGCGTTGGGGTTCTGTAGAAAGAATCCTGGGTCACTTTTTAGCTTTCCTTGGGGCCTAGGTCAAAGAATGTGACAATAACCAGACAAAAAAGTTGATTTTGATATTTAAATTTGCCTGTAACATTGATCTCGGGCAGAAATCGAGATTTAATGCTATCATATTCTTCTGTTTTCAGAGAAAATCCAAATTTGTCCTTGGAAATGGGAGCTTCATCAGGGGATTGTACCCTTAGAGGAAGATTATTTCGACTACCAGTTACCTTCAACAGCATTCCTATGTCCTCTTTTACATGGATTAACGGAATTCATTAACCTGACCAGGAAAAATGTGGCGAGTTTTCAGTTTGAGGATTCAAAGGTAAATTAAAACAAAACAGCATTAAAGGAGCTGTACGTGTAACGACATTTATCAACATTCAAACATGGTGAGTAAGAACAGCGACCAAAATGAGTGATTTCATGAAAAGAATATATGAATGACAGCAAATACATAAGGAGGAACGGATGGACAAAGTTCAAGAAGATTACAACGGATTGCAATTTTCAGTGGTTTTTGAAAATTTGTTAGCCTAACAGTTTTTAAACGTTCATTTTTTGTTGTTTATAACTTTTGATATAATGCTCTTAAGACAGCTGTTTGACAAGAACCTCTGATTTTGCCATTGACAAGTAATTTATCAAGTTCCATGGCGACACAACTGCTCATGAGGGAGCCTAAGCAACAAAAACGTCACTTAGAAAGTGAATTCGCGCTGTTTCAAACTTTATAGCGCTTAATCCATCTCGTTCAATTCGTCAGATGTTGGCTAATTTTTCTTGAGTTTAATTTTAGAGGACTGTATCAAAGTTCAGAAAAAGAAAAAAGAAATCGTTGTCTTCTGTTCACCTTCTCTACAAAACGTGAAATTAGGCAGTTTCACGTCGTAGTCGTTCAACGACGGCAACGAAATGTACAAAAAAGCGTGATACACGTGCAGAGTTGTTGTTTTGCCGTTCTTGTTGCCGTCGTCGTCGTTGTCGCTGCTTAAGCTCACGCAGCTGACCTTTAATTGTTCGATATAGATCCTTATTATGAACGATAGAGAAACATTCAATACTACTTGTCCTCGGCGCTGAAAGTCAACATTAATTTGAGGATAAAAGTCTACAGTCATGAACGGCTGTACTGACACGCTCTCAAACCACTCTTTCCTACCGCCTAATACGTTAGAAAACTGGAAGTACAATTCTTGAGGGGAAAAAAGTAAATGAACAAATAAAAAGATGCCTAAGCAAGAATCGAAATAAATGAATAAATGATTTTAAGGCCAGCACACCCCGTGAATGGCTGACTCTCTATGCCACATTTCTTAGACTATCAAAGACATTGACAATGTTGTTTTCGAGTGGAGGGACTTAATATATTTACCAAAATGGTGCACCATACTGCTTTTTCAAACAACCAGAGGAAGGTTTTAATTCTCCATGAAGAACTTAGACACAACGTTGAAATACTGAAGCACATGACGTAAGAAATCATACAACCAAAGATCAAAACGAATCCGAACTTCCAGCAAATGTCTTTGAATAAACCATTATACCGCATCAGTCCATCCTTTATTAATTTGATGGTGAAGAAGAAGGAGGGAGGGCCGGGAGGGGGGCATGATAACTTTCTTTTCCTGAAAAGGGAGGGTTTATTTGAGAGAGGAGCTTAATAGAGGATATACGGTAGTCGAAAGTCCCAAATCAAATATAATTTCAGTGAACAGTATATTAAAAATACCTTTCGTATCTACCTCCGTGAACATAACAAAATTGACCTTTCTTTGGACATTCATATACAGTATATGGCATAAAGATTCGTTTTGCAGGAATGCACTTGTTATTTACTAATGAGGTACAATTTAATTACAGTTAGCCACTCCCCAAGACAAAAAAGTGAAGGTGGCCGGCCGACTACACTGTCTGGGAATATCCAATACACGTGACAAATTGACCTCAAAGCGGCATGCCTGTTCAACTGCATTATGCACCCCTCAGTGCACTATTGGGATAGTATATATGGCACAGCTGGCTCCTGACAAAGTGACTGTTTAATAGGGGGTGAAAACTATATAAAAAATAATAACCCCGGAAAAGGTGACCGCTTATTAAATAGAGGTGACTGCTAAATACATGCCACTTTTACAGATACAAAGGGAAAGACCGGGAGGGTGGGGGTGACTTTTTAATATAGGTTTGACTGTTATTAATTTTTTCACGTTAAGGATACATGTGCTGTGGAGGAACCAGAAAAGAAAGAAAGGAAGATCAGGGAGAATAAAGAAAAGCGAACAAAAATGATGGCAAGAATAGCCCTTCAAAAACTGGATAAAGAATTGAAATTGCTGCATCGAAACGACGACGAGCAAACGAGAAAAGAAATGGTGAAAAAATTAGCGTTTACTGTGCGCCAGATGATCAAGATCATCGTGGATGGAAAACATCCTACTGAAGAGATGGTGAAGGAGTCTATTGATAAGATAAAGAAGCTTGCTACAAAATCTCCTAACAATCAGAAGTCAGATGATAACAGGCGGCAATACGTAGCCGCAGTACTTAAAGCTTGCGAAGTTGCATCGGCGTGTGGAGATGCTGATTCTCAGGAAAAGTCAAACTCAAGTTTCGTTTTCAGATTCACTTCAGATTCACTTTAAGGCTTTATGTTACTACTGTATATTTAATCTTTTTATATACCTATTATTTGTTTATCATCAATAGATAGTTTATCAGCAGGTCCACATCAGCTTTAACTGGCTTTTAACTTTAAACTTGCTTTACCGAATAAACTATGAATGAAAAAATGAATGAATGAATGAATGAATGAAGCAAATTAAATCAGTACTTAGTATCTAGCTTTTTTGAGTTTAGGCAATTTGTTTCAAATCTAACGTTTGACAATATGTCCATCTGATGCTTAGGCTTGTTGTGTAAACAATCCATAGGGTTAAGAATTTCAAAATGCCACATATATACTTAGGTCGATCAGACGACGGTAAACGTTGAAAAAAAAGAGGGTGGTATAGAAACGTACGTTTAATCCATTTAGTCCCAATAGGCGCAAGCGTCCGCTGTGTTTTTACCCTTGGTACCAGAGGTTTTTTCTAGCCTACGATGAGGAGCTTCTCGGCCGCACCGGAAACCGCGCATGAAAAGCCTCCGGCACCCAGGGTATGTGTATTTAGAATTTTTTTTTTCTTCTTTCTGTGGACAATATATAGTTAATTAATTTTCATCTTTAAATATCTTAAGTTATCTTAGATACGAAAGCAAGGGCTCACGATACTGAAAGCCCGAGCAAAATACATGATCCAAGCACCGGTAAAATTGACTTCAGGACAAAATTTTCTCCGTTTTGAATTGAAATTTTAACTGCATCCACACCACACGGTTGGTGTTCCTTTAGTTCGAGACACAACTGAGATTGTGCTACATCGGCATGTTTGTTTCTGACCAAGCTGATGATAAGATCTTCAGAGGAGGTTTTCAAGAACTCGAT